GAAGACCTGACCAGGACCACGAGCAAAGCCAAAGCCGAGTCCGTAGTACTTGAGAGCTTCACTGCGCGACTCGGCACATACGTGGAGGTTGGCAGGAATAGTTGCTGGAGAAGTACATCCTGACCATGAGTGGGCGCCTGAGGAGCCGGACCATGAGGAACCGCATTGCATGGGCACGAGGCGCGCGGGAGGGAGGTTATAATTCCAGATCTTGACACGTAGTTCTGCGGGGAGTTGCTCGAAGTTGTGCTGAGAATAATAGCGTTAGAATTGGGCATCATTTGTTGTCAAGTTTAGGGAGGGAAGAATGAGGTGGTTTGGTTGGTTGGTTGACTTACAAAGGTGCGAGGCGTAGGTGATGGCGGGGCATACATTGTATGAGAAGACATATTGTAAGAAGAAACGTTTGAGGATAAGAGTGCCAGAAAGTAATATTGTGGTCGGAGTCGCAAAGCACAGGCGACACGCGCAGTGATAATGCGCTGCGGAACCAACGTTGACAAGACTGCCAATTGTCGTGGTAGAAAGCAGTAGATGTCGATGGTGATGAACTTTTGAGTTGAACAGGCAGAGCTGAGTAGAATCGGGTGGCCTGTGGTTGAGTTAAAAGAAACACAAAACAAAACAATACAATATAACGAATTCTTCTTTCTCTGTTCTGAACGTCGAGATAGACTCGAGGAGACAAAGTAAACACTGAGGGACAGGTGAAGGATAATAAATATAACAAACAATGGGAGACAAGACAAGACAAGATGAATAGCTAATAAGGTAAGTAAGTTGAGTGAATGACGAGAGAGGGAGTGTCTTGTCCAATTTCCTATCACACGCCCATACCCATCCATGCCCAAAAATCATTTGGCCCTCACTAAAGAGCTGACTAGGTTAATAAAGGTTCAGTCTCTCCTCTTACCGTAGGATCCATGTCCATGTCAAGTTGTTGATGCCCTTGCCATGTTCATACCCTTGACAGACCCAAACTTATTCATACATACATACATACATACATGCATGCATACATACGGTCGTTGATGATCCTTGTTAATCAACAATGAGAAAATGCCCCCCCCCCTCAGAGCAAAGCTTCCGCTGTGATTTTCATTCACTGTATCCGTACCCGTCGGTAAAGGCTCAAGCCTAAAGAGCATCCGTGGGTCATGGACCAATGGACCCAGCCCCCCAGCCACGGAAAAGATACCAAAGTCCGAAGATTCTACTAAGCTAAGTTAAGTTGTGTGTAAGTTGCCGGGAGAGGGGACCCCCAGTTGCGTTCGAGGCTTGTGTAAGAGACGACTTCGATTTCAACTCGACTTGAGTACCTAGTCAGAAAGGAAGACAAGAAAAGGGGATGAAGCGCGCACTCACTTGGCAGCCCGGAAACTGCAAAACGCACTCGCTCATATTCCCGGAAACACTTCTCCCTTGGTATCCATGCAACCCCCCCCCCCCCCCGGCAGCTTCCATCCCCCTCAGGCTGACCTGACAGATCACAGCAGGAGGACAGAACTTTCTATCTGCCAGAGAGCAGCCCAGCCCAGCCCAGGCACCTCACGGACAGAACCGACAGCTCGGGTCCGGAGAGCCGGGGGTGCATTGAAGTGTCGTGTAGTGTAGTGTAATGTAGTGTAGGCTAACTGGCATTCTTTGCAGCCTAAGATGAAGCACACGCAGGCTGCACAAGCAACATCACATCACATTCAACATCAGCTCAAGTTAAGCCGTTCCGAGCCTAGGATCAGGCCCTTGAGCAGTCACGTCTGTGATCTGATGCAACACGGATCATAGAGGTGCTGATTGACCTGAGCCTTTTCTCAAAGTCCAGTGCTATACCGCATTCAAGGCCGCCACAAATGGTGTTTTGACTGATTGATGGCTGCAACTCCAATGTTACCCCGTTCCCGTGTCTCGCATGAGCCGCACACGACAGAGAGAGAAACAAAAGAGCCTGAGTACGGAGCAAAAACAGGCAATCTTGCTAGTGAAATGAGCCCAGGAAGATAGCCATCACGGAGGAAAATGACCGGTGATAGATATCTCGAAACTCCGCAAGCGTATATTCCCCATTCAGACTGTGTTTCCTGTTCCTTTTGCGAAGAGCCCTACCAAGCCAAGGCATGGAAACATGCGTAGATTTCTCGACCAATAGACGGCTGCAATCGACTCCGGAACATTTCCAGCTAGACTTTCCCCCAGGATTGGACTTGACGTTTCTTCTCTAGGGACATGGGTCATATCATGGGTCCCTGTCAGGCTGTCAAGGCTTTAAGTCCGCCCACACCATAATGCGATTGGTCCGAATGTTGAGTAGTACCCTTATTGACTTTCGGATGGCCGTTGATCCGACGCATGACAGGGAGGGGCCACAAACCCTCAGAACACATATCCAATACCTAGTGCCTACTAGTTAGGCTTTGACACTGACACTGACGCTGACGATCAAAGATATCAACAATCTCTCATGTTGTGTCTCATGTCATATCATGCTACTCCGATCTCGACAAGACGTGTTTATTGTCTTGATCTCTTGTTTCCTCCTTCGAGGACGTTCGAAACACACTGCCCCAAGGGGTGTCTAGATCCACAGATAACGCCTCTTTGTCTGTTCTCGTCCTCATCGCGCTCTCCGGTGTGGGACATCAAAGTGACGGCTGTGTAGTTTATATCCACATGCCGTTCATGGTTCCCGGTCGCATGGCCTAAGGCTGTAATGTACATACGTACAAACGCACATACATGCATACAAAGCCAAGTGTTCCAAGTTCTTGATCCCAGGTGACTACCATGGCATAGCGCATCGTAGAGCAGTTTGGCCGGCTCTAATTCAGCCATCGTTGAAACTTGAAAGTGCCAGACATTCTCTCTGGTTTTGTGGGCTGCCGAAGGGTCTTGCAGTAGCCTCAGCTCTTTGATGCATTGCATCTGTTGTTGTCGAACTGAGTATGTTCCAATCATGTCCCAGAAATGAGGTGCGCTAAGTAGCTGCAGAACATAAAGATTGCATTAGGTTCATAGTCCCAGCAGCAGATGTCATGTTGCCGTCGGCATAACGACGTATAGAGTCCACCATCTCTTCCCAGTATTCAGCTGTCTTGACCCCAAAGACGACAACGGGGCTTTCGAAGACGACCTACCATATCCAATCCTCGAGAAGATGATTAACAGGTGCATTAGATTAGATCTGCATCCTGTATTTTAATATTCTCAGGACAAGGGCCGGGATCTTTCAGTTGAGTGTTCGCAGTCCGCCAATGATATGTACACATTGTACTCAAAAGGTAAAGGTTCTGTGCCGGTCTCTGTCTCAGCTCTCCAGAATCCGAGATCTACTCTGTAAGTTTGTGAGGATGTCAGGATGTCAAGGGTAGCGCATTTTGGATTACTGAACGTTAGGGATCATGTCAGACCCTTCCCCTGCATTGCCCACTCTGATTGACTCGTCTAAGTAGCGGCTTGCATGGATGCAAAAGGACGGGGCCCTTGTTGGTCCTGACGTCCTAACCGCAACCGGCGACAACGCTACTGTCGATCATCCGCGACGCCTCACAGCGCCAGAGAACGTCTTGTCGATAGAGGGGTTTGAGCCTTGAGGCTTGAGGGAGCTCCAAGCCTCCAAAGCCTTGAGCATCTTGGCGCATGCCAACGTCAACATCACATCAACCTTTGTGTCACCGTATCGACATCATTCAGGACGAGTTCGTTCATTCATCGTCTCTTCAGTGCAGCCATCGTGAAACGGCGATGGTTAACGCATAGATACGGAGTAGTCATTCTGGACTGTCTGTATCCATGTACTGTGCCGCAAGGATATGTACGAGAGATGATGGTCAGGCCGCATCGATGTGCCCGGCAGTTCATGAAGCAGTTTCGATGTTAAAACATCACGGGCCGGTCAGCCTCGATTGCGAAGAAAGAGTCGTGTATCCGTATTAACCAACTGGCAAAAGCAATCCAGCCAGCAGGTTTCATTTCCGACAAGTAGCGGACCGACCGACCAGTTTAACGGTTTCCGAAGACTAACTTTCCCCTGGCCTGGCCTGCTGTAATAAAGGTTTGAACGGTATGGTATGGTATGTGCTGTACGTATCCGCAAGCTGAAAAGAAATGTTACATCGAAGACTTTGATTCATCTTGACTTTTTTTTTTTTTCGGAGCGTGATGCCAAGTCTAGCCCCCGAATATTTTCGGGATCCACTTCGGGGGGCGTTGGAAAGTTGAAAGCCTCCACTGTCCGTCTTTCTAGACTGGTCAGGTGATTTGTCATGTGACCGTGATAGGAAAGGGATTGAATTGTTTGACTCTCACTCCTTGCTTGCTTGATAGATGGATAAACTCAGTGGCCACCTCACTGGCCGACCATTCCTGCAGCCTTCATGTCCTACTTACTAACGTATGTACATACCTAGTATGTAACAAACGTACATAACCGCTCACGCCAACGGTTTGACACGGACCCGAAAATAGATCCTAGTGACAACCATCTCCTATCTCGGGGAATAATGCTTGTCTCTGAGTGGCTCAATGTTCGTCTAAGCGCTCGAGGCAACACGCTCAACTCTGACAGTCAGAGATTCGGCCAATCCTAGCCCAGCAGTCGATGTCAATCTCTCACACCAACACCAACCAGCGCGCCTATGCTGCAATTCTTGCACAGGCTCTTCCAACTATCACCCTGATCGCCTTCGTATAATTGGTCTCTTGACTGTTATTGCGATGGTGTTCGTCGCTTAAGGTTAACGGATCTTGTTAAGCTGTGATCAATCTCTTATATCTATGTTGCAAATCCCCATGATCTGTCCGTAGTTCAATATCAATTCAAAGCTCTTTTGTATTTAGGCTTGGTTCCTTTGCCTTTGCCTTTGCCTTTTCAGTTTCATTTTCTTCTTTCTTATATTCTTTCATCTTCTCTCCAGCAGGCCTTGGGGTTTTGACCTTTCCGTTAGTCTTGTTCCTCGTGATCTCCTCTCTGGTCAATATACATATACTCGGTCTATATTCTCAGAATGGAGTCGTCCGGCAGAAACATGTCCATCGGCACCAAGACAGAGATCTCAGCGTCCAACTTTGAAGCAGATGCTGAGTCGGTTCGAACCAATCCCAGCTTCCGCATCTATCGCTTGCTCGACAGCGCTAGACTGGGCCTCACAGTCCTCAGTCTCGCGGCTGGCTTGACAATCCTTGGTGTTTCGGCGGATGCCCTCGCTGTTTTCCATGCTACCTATGTCCCGGAAGATTGGTTACTTCAACTATGGCCTGCCAACTTCGATATGCGCCCGACCGTAGCTCTGGTAGTCGGTAGTGCCCTGGTCATTGTGGCCAATCTTGTCTCGTTGATCGCTGGCAAGCTTCCGACTGTAAGGCGACCCCCAGTCTCTCTCTGTTGTATTTGCTTTTTGGCTCTTAAAACTAACGGTTGTGATGCAAATAAGGCCCGCAGAAACGTTGCAGTCAAGGCAGCATTCACATTTGTGCCCCCCGCTATTGCCCTGATCGCCGCCATTATCGCCATGTCATTCTTCTACGGTGTGAATGCCTCTACCACCAACGATTCACTTCAGAGCTGGACGTGTCGCTGGAAGGACGTGACCATGAATGTGCAGCCTCACTTCGGCACACTCTGCAAGCAGAGCCGGGCCGGTGTAGCGCTCTCTGTCATGCTAGTTCCCGTCGAAGCTATAATCTTGGGGTTGGCGGCGTATCAGTTCACCCTAGAGAAAGGCTTCGACCTGGGCGCTCGTGGACTAAGCCGTAAAGCGGGAAGCCCTGCCCTGTCTTGAAATTGATATCGAGATTGGGAGATTGGGGCCAATGCAATATGCGAGAGTCCCACGGCCTTGGGCCTGGGTTCAGATCATTGAGATACCAGGTCGATCACCAGATACCAGTCGAGTTGGATCGATGGAATTGTCAAAGGATCGGAACTAGTTGTGGGGTGTCATAATCAGCCCAAGGGGGGCATGAGACTATTGGAACCCATCAAACAAACATGGGTTCATTATTCCTACATACGACATACATAGGTAGTCTAGTCTCTTCTGTTATTTTTGTGAGGATTTGGAGCTGGGGCTGAAAACAAAGCTCGATGTGGTTTCGGTTGCGATAGGTCATATTTGGAATATTAATCAACCCTCTTTTCTCTTTTCTTTTTACTTAGTACCTAGCTATGTAGGCGCCGAGACAAATGCCAGGACCAGAACAGAACCAACAGTTCGGCCATGCCTAGCGCGTGCATATGTTAATAGTCTGTGAACCAGTCCAGGTCAGTCTAGGTCTGATAGATAATTTCATAGGCATTCCGACAGTTTGGAAGCCCCTGATGCCTCGCAGCGGTTAGCAGGAACTCTAGCTTATGGTGTTCCGTCTCCTCGGTGCTGTCAAATATGACAATTGTTTGCATTACGATGGGGTATAACACATTGTCCGGAGCGGCTGCAGCTCGTTAATAGGCACAATACGAGTAATGTTCATCAGTCACAAGACAAACGAAAACGGACGCATCGATGTAAAAAAAAGTAGTCGTTCGTTACACCTAAACGCCCATGGCTTTATATGTTACATACTCATGTCTTCAGGGTAGCCGAGCACCCATTCCTTCACGCAATTTGATCACCTTTATCCGTACTCACACCTGCATCCGCACGCGCACCACTCAAACGAGCTAGACAAGGTCTAGAAGGCATGAATCGAAGGATGGAATAATAAGCATTGACAGGCCATTTCTCATCACGAGACAGCCCCGTCAGGCGCTGGTTTCGTCAGCATTATCCCGGAACGTAAGGCCGCAATGCATCCTCGCTAACAGAGGATCCATTTACACACCTTGACTGTCATCAGTGCTCGATCACGAATGTTCTATCCGTATACCAGGCGGAATCGACCTTTGTGTCCGTCGGACCTCGCCTGAGCCAAGAGGAAGTCTGAGTTACAGTCAACTGTCCTTGTTGCACCCACAACTGTGTCTATAGTGATTGCGTGACACGGGTTTCACTTTATAGAAGAACAGAGCGGGAAACGTAGGGAAACCTGCAGTCCTTGTAACACCAGCTACGGCACAAAGACGTCTCGATTTATTGTGTACCTTCTGTATTCACCCTCGGTTCATCTTCTTCACATTGAATTGCTGTAGAGTGCTCTCAATGTTCACCTGCCTTAAGCCTCCTGCGTCGTTGATTACAGTACGTGATACAAATTGTGCTCATAATCATATACACCTGTTTCCTTGGCTTGGTATTTGATTTCTTTTCACACAAATTGGCACATCACCGCAAAGTATGGGCGCACAAAGATCTCACGTGTAACAAATAACCAAGCCATTTCTGAGCAGTCAATGGCTTTCATGCGCTCGTAACTCTCCTTTTACATCGTCGTGATCCCGACTCTGCAAGCTTCTGCTGTCATCATGCATCTATCACCGGCAATGGCTTTGCCTTATATCCCAAGTCGCACCTCTACCAAGCCTCCGAATTCTAAACCACGGCAAAAACAAGAAACTACTGCCTCAGTTCCAGTTCCAGTTCCAGCTCCAAGATCACTCCCGGGAGAGCGAAGAGTCAAGCCTTGCCTCAGCAGGCCAAGTCTCGATCCGGTTCTGGAGAGTGATCAACGACCCTCAAGAGATGTAGAGCAGGTTATGTCCGGGGATGCTGCCAAAGTGACGAGAAAGCAGTCGTTGCCGATACTTACCAGAAAACGAAGTGACTTCTTCGAGGAAGCATTTGGATCCAAGCATACGCAAGACCCCGGTGATCAAATACGGAATGAGTCTCCTGTGCTGGTAGAAATCAAGACCAATGTCATTGCAAGTTGGCGCGCTGCATGGCACCAGGGAATATGTCACTAACGTTCAGCTATGTACCTAGATTGAAGATGAATTCACCTTCATCACTGAACTATCCGAGTACCTCGCGTTGCGATATAATCGTCCGGCATCTTCTATCGTAATGACAGTCCAGCATGGGATCTGTATTCAGTTTGGTAGGGGTTCTGATTCTTGCTATACCATGACAATCGAGGCTCTTGCTCGAGACGTTCAGACGACGACCAACAAACGAAATATTGCTCTCTTTCAGAGACACATGGAGCAGGCCCTGAGGATCCCCCCGTCCAAGGGGTTCTTGAGATTCGTTCCCCTCGCTGAAGACTGCGCTGGGTGGAAAGGCAACACACTTGCTGGGCATATTACAGAGGTGATAGAAGAGACACACGCGATGACGGAACGTCGAGGTTCGATCAGGGCTCCGAGGAGAAGATCTAGTAAGGTGAGTCTCTTGTATTGATATGTCGAAGGAGCTGGTTTTGATCAACATGAGCAGGCATTTCGAGAAATTAAGACTAAGATAACTACATCAGAGAGCGCACCTGCATTGAATCCTAGCACATCAAATGGCGTATTGTCCGATGACACAGAAGCTCTCGGAAAAGCTGCGAAAAACGAGGCTAAGACCGAAAAGAACAAAACGAAGACGTTAAAGCAAAGGAAGAGTTTCATCCATGCCCTGTTTTCCTAGGTCAGCGAGTCGATTAGCAGAGAGAGAGGTAGAATGAGGGATCAGAGGGTTGAAATATGGATAGCACTCTTTCATTAGCGAGGAATTGTATAAACGGAATTGTGATTTAATTTGATTTAATTATTAATTTCCGTCTTGTAGCTTTAGGCTGCTAACCTTTAGTTAAAGTAAGAAAATATACTAGGCTAGTTCTAGGGTAGCTAATATTATATCTACTAATCTAAGGAAAGTAGCCTTAGGTAAACTTATAAAACCCTATTTTATCTCTTTAAAGGCTAAAAATTAAAGTTATGTATTAGCCCTTTACTTCTTCCTAACTATTTAGTATTTTAGTAATATATTTTTTAACTTATATTATTAATCTTATTTATACTTAATACCTATTAGTAAGTTATAGGAAATAAGCAGGGCTTAGTTATTATTTTATAAAAGTGGTATTATAATAATACTAATTTTACTAATATTTTTAAAGATTTTTAAAGTTATTTACTAAAGTAAAAAGGAAAAATAAGTATAAGTAGGCTAGCTAATAATAAATTATACTATTTCTATACTTTTAATTACCTTAATTAAAGAAATATAGTTTATAATAAAAAAAAAAGTAAGTAATACTTTTATTTTTATAAGCCTTTTAGTTATCTTAATAAGGGTAAATTTATATAAAAAACTAAGTTACTTTTATTAAATTAATAAAAATCTTAAAATTATTACTTACTATATAATA